CTGCCGCGAGCAGCGACAGTGCCCGGACAGTGCCCGGACGTCGTCCCCGCCGGCGAGGATCGCCGGAAAACTTCACTGTTTGCGGTAGGAACTACCTTTCCCAATGTTCGTCGGAAGGAGACTCGCGAACCCATGGGCTTACGTCCCGCCGCCCTTACGTCACGCCGCCCTTACGTCTGTGCCGTCCTTATGCTAGTAACATGCTTACTTCATGCCACACTTACGTCAGTGCCGCACCTACGTCATGCCACGCGTACGTCATGCCGCACTTACGTCAGTGCCGTGCTTCCGCGTGGCCTGGGCGGCCAGGGACTTGACCCGGTCCCGGTAGAGCTGGGCCGCGCGGCTGTTGTACTTGGCGTTGGCGTCGCTGGTGGCGCAGCCGTGCTGGTGGAAGAAGGACGACTGCGGAGGAAGCACCGCATTACTAGCAATACTGCGGGGAACGCCACGCCACGAAGGGCTTGTGAGAATACTAGTGAAAACCAAAATGATGCGAACCACGGGAATTTTCAAATAAATTTTTCCTTGTAAAAGGGAATACCTTCTACACATGTAACATGAAAATTTTGGTAAAACTAGACGTGAGACTTGAATTACAAAATGAAGTAACTGGCCCTTCGCTTCTCCATTAAACCACCTCCGTCATTCTGTTATCTGAGGGGTCACTTTCCACTCAGGTCTACTTTTAATTCATGAGAAATCCATTTCAATTTGGATTTCTGACAAATTGGTTAGGAGCAATGCTAAGCTTCACCTTGTTCAGCACTATTTATTCATTAACAAACACAGCACAGGCAAGGTGATAAAATGCTTAAACAATCAGAGGAAGCTGATTCGAACTACCTTATAAGGCCCATGTACAGACATGGATTACAGAAATCATGTCTTAATTAAAGCAGGTATTCCAAAAACCTGTATGAGCAACCGTTTCATTAACCCAATTTGATTACTATGGTATTAGGCAACCACATACCAGATCCTTTTCTGGGTTCTTTGGGCACCAACCCATTAAATCCTCACAGCAACACTATCAGAAGTCACTGTTACTATCTACACTTTGCAGATGGGGAAACTGAAGCTCAGAGTAGTTCAATAACTTGCCCAGTGTCACACAGGTGAGTGAGAGGCAGAGCTGGCATTCAACTGGAGCAGGATGGCTCCAACTCCACTGCTTCAAGTGGAATGACCAGTGACCCGGCCCTTCCCCACCCCTTTCTCCCACCTCTGCTGGCTGGAGACGAGAAAACTGCTCTGGACGTGGGTGGGGGACTCTGCAACCTTGGGAAGGTTTAGAAATAAGGACACATAAACTCAAACTCACAGTATTAAGTTTTGGAACAAGTCCATGAACATCGTGATAATGGGCATGGGTTTCTAATAAGATGCTTGAAATATTAAGGCGTGAATTCTTAATGGGACAAAATTGTTTCTTGGAAAGTGAAAAAAAAATCTTAGTTATTACAATGGTTTGTGGCCCTTCAATGCTCACCCCTACCAGACAAAATCATATTCCTTAGTATTTAATTTCTCTCACTAGGGAAAAATTAAATCCAATTTAAATGTAAAAGAATCTAATTTAAATTTATTTTTTCTGCTTAGGAAACAATAATGAGAAAAGGTTGAGAAACTAATACAAGGGAATCCAGTATTTTGAAAGCTACTATTTTAGTTTTACAATTTTAATTTTAAATATCAAATTGTTGATATAATTTTTATTTGAAATGTATACAGATTTGATTTCTTATACTTTCAATGTTTGACGGCACATCTATGGGAATTCTAGCTACTAAAAATCTACCATTTGGCCTTATAAATAGGGTAAAGGTAGTTTGGGTGATTTTGCTGGCTAGACTTGTAAGGCTGCCAATTTAGAGTTTGAGAAATCAGATATATTGAATTTATAAATGAAGTTTAAGATGTTTGAGAATCCTTAGTTAGGTTTGAAAGTAGGCTTTAAAAAAGTCTGCTCTTTTACAATTATAATTAAGTGACCACTTAATTGGTTATTTTTTTGCACAGAAATTACTAAGTTTATAAATTAATATATGATATTTATATACTGTATTTGAAAATTTGGAGAGTAGATTTTATTAAAAATTTGTAGATTTCATAAAATAGAATTCAGATGTAAGCCACTGTAAGCATTCATTCCATTCTAAGCACAAAAGTCACCCACATATATTAAAAAACTGTACTGTCATAAAGAATCCTCCCACTTCCTCCATATCACTGCTTCCTGTTTTAATTTTCTTGGAAGCACTATCATCATCTGTTAGGTTCTCGCTTATTTGCTCCTTTAGTGACTTTCTGTCTCTGCCTCTGGGAAGGGATCTCATTTGTCTTGTACATCACGACTAGCATCTATCCCAAAGCTTCGTGTTTAATAGATTTTTGGATAAATAAGTCAATCGGGTCATCCAACTCCAAAGCCCCTCAGGTCTTTCTGTATCCAACAGGGCCTCCCAAACAGTGGAACACACATTTATCCAGAAGGAAAACAAGTCTAAGATGAACTTACTGCGTTAGCATTTCCTCCAACTTGCATGCATCGCAGCTGGAACCAAGACCAGTTAGAATCCAACTCTGTAGATCTAAACGGAAAGAACATTCTTAAATGTCAATCCTTTTATTCCCCCAAATCAAGCCACTAAACTTTTGAGAACAAGATTTCCTTGATCTTCAGGATCCTGAGGAATTCTAAGTGTGTGTTAACAGTGACACATGCTTCCAGGATGCTGGGACTCCAAAGTGTGTGACTGCTGGTACAGTAGCTCCTGGACCCTCATCCTTCCTAGAAGCCAAGGCTCTGATGGCCAACCACCTGTCCCCTCCACGCCCGACCACAGGCAAGCCACGCCAGGCCACACCAGGCCAGTAGAGCTTCTGCTGCGCTGACTCCAGCCGGCCATATCCTCAGGGAATGGCTGTTTGAACAACTCTGACTGCCTCACATTCTTAGTGGGTCATGATCTAAAATTTGATAATGTGTCTCAGAATAGGTGTTCTGTTTGGATTTTTTCAGGGGTCCAGTCTGATACCTAGTAGGACCCTGCAGGATGCTCATCATTTCACCATCAGGTGGAGGGGCCCACCCACCATCACCACAGAGAGGAAGGGAAGAGATCGCAGGAGTGAACGCTCTTGACGTGAAACCTCAGGTGCCTGCCTCCCACCCCACATCTTGTGCCCTCCTTACCTGAAACCGAAGATCACCTCAGAGCAAAGCAAAGACAGTAAGTGTATTTCCCAACAATAAAGTCCACCAAGTGATCAATGTAAAGCAAGACAGGACAGCACATAATGTTGGAAGTCTTTACATGGAATTGACAGATACGAGCAAAAGCAAGACTACCGCGAATTCCACAACAGCTCACCCCACACTAACTGTAAAGGAATGTGGACATGTCAGAATGGGCATAGGTAGAATATCCTTCACAAAATGGGCTCTTCCTCTTACTCATTTCTATTCCTATTTGTATCATTTAACCTTTGTGAATGTTAGGATGTTATTTTGAAGCCAACAGCTGCCTTAAGATTAATAATGATACTAATATATATTCTTATTACATATACATATGACATTTACTTCATGATGGTATAAAAAGTAAAAATTAAACCGTACTTTATAAGAAACATATTTCCCAAAGACAACAATAAATCTCCTTTTAGAATTTGAATACCAAGCAAGGTGATGAAATTATAATCTTGTTCTAAAATCCCTTCTCTGAAAGATCTTGCTTAGTCACGTTATCATGACCCCCTCCCCCACAGACTGGGTTAGGTGCCATCCCCTCCCCATTTGTCACTGGGTGGCAGTTAACAGCAATCTCTGGGGACAGACTGAGAGAGTACAAACCTCAGCTCAGCTGCATGACCTTGGAGAAGTTACTTAACTTCTCTGAGCCTTACTTAGTTCATCTGCAAAGTAGGTACAATTATAGGATTATCTATTTCGCTCCTGTAGAAATTAAGCTAATATTTGAAAAGTGCTTGGCTCATGGTAAACACCATATGGCTAAAGTTCTCACCGTCACCATCACCATCATCATGGTAACCCTGTTACGCTGTGTTACAGGCAAGCTGCAGAGGACAGGCGTGTCCCATGTTTTCCTCTCACACTCCTGGCACAGGCGCATAATCAGTGCCTGACTTAAACTATGTCCTAAAATGGAAGCAACAAATCCTCAGACTTGCTGATCTGCCTTACAACTTCTATTCCTAAACTATCTTTAAAAAAATGAAGTCAAACATTTTTTATATATTTCTTAGAAATAAAGATAAAAAACTAATCGTCCTTGAGCTGAGCTGACAGGGACTCTCTCACACACGGGAATTTGAAACAAAGGCTGTGATGATGACGGCCTCTGAGTCTAGGCAACCTTGGGAAGAAGCTGGAATCTCCCCGGCGCCCGTTCTGGCACGAGGAGGTGACTCACTGTGGGTTATTTCTTATCTTTAATTTAGATTAGGAGATGGTGAAAGGTAAGAGAGTCTGAGTGCTAAGAAAAAAGCAAGCAGCAAAAGTATGAGAAGGTAAAGAACTAGTGTCACTTCAGCTCCTGTTAACCAGCCATGTAAAGGAGAAATAAGCTTCCCACAGCCTCCATAATCCTTAGGAGTCAAGATACAATGTTCTCTCCAACAACCTGGTATTTGTAATTTTTTAATCAGTAAAAAATATTCAAAGAACAGCCCTCCACCTCTTAAAAAAAATAAAAAAGCTACTGAGTACCCTTATTTATCATCCTTGGCTTTGTCTTGCCCAAATCCTAGCTGCTGCCCTCTAAAAAGGAATTTTTAAGTTGTTTTTTAATCATTTATAAGCACTGTGATTCATAGTTATATTTATCTGACTTTTAGGAGACTAGTGATTAAACTTGCAAGAGTCCCAAGAGACAATGCTGTCCAGCCTCACCAGACTCCAGGTCAGTCCTTCCCTCAACCAAGGAACACGTCAGAAAACCACCTCACTTCCTGGGAGGGTTTAAACTGCCAGTGTGCTCTAGCGGTGAGGAAAAGGGAGGGCCCGATTATAAAGGGCAGGGCTTGGCCGGGACAAACAGGAAGGCACAGCAAAGCAAGAGAGACAACCAGTTACGTTGCCTCGAGTCCAGCTTTCCTGGGCTCTGGGCAGGGCAGGCTGCCACGTTCACTGGAAACAACTGACCTGGGGATGTGAGAGATGTACATTAAAAATAAACTTGCCCTGGCAACTAAATCCCTCAATATTTAAAAAAGAGGCAAGGACAGGATAGTGAATTCAAAATATTCTGAGGCCAGCAGCTAAGAAAAGAGAAAAGAAGACAAGAAACTGGCTGATACTCTAAAACCAAAGAACATACAAAAGAACCCCCTTTTCTAGATCTCTACTTATGGAGTAGATGGCTATAAATATTTAGCACGTCGGGCCTTTGCAAATTGATTTGTGAGAAAAGAACTCAGGAAAGCGCATCAGGAACGTTTTTTAAAATATATTAAGAAAACTGTGTTGCTATTTTTACTATTTAGTTTTTGTGCTATCACACAAAATACCTCATTATGAGTTATAAGACGTGGTCCTTTAGGAACCAATGCTCTTTACAGTAATTGCGTTCTGACAATGGTCCTTAAGTCAATATATGATAAAATTGCTTGCCACAATTCCAAATAGCCTGCCTGCCTAGCTGGTTCCTTCCCTGGGAAAAGAAGTGGCTTCCAAGCCCTGAGCCCCACTGAAATCCTTTTATTATTTCTTATATTATTTCAATTTCTTCCACCTCACACCAGGACACTTGCCACCTCCCACTGGACTGTGGGGCTGTGTGTGTCCAGAGTGGGCACCTTCTCTCACGCACACAAAGGCCCACCCAGGCTACTACCATGCCAGCATCAAAGCGAAAGGCAGGAACTTGTGAGAATGAGCCCACCACAGACCATGACTTCAGATGAAAAGAGAAGAATGACGTTCATATTATACGAGTTTGAAACTGCCACTAAAATTCATACAAAAACATCACTCAGGCTTTGCAGTATTAGTGGCCTGGGAGCCAGGGCTGTACAATTATGCAGGAACTGTGACATTAGCTCTCCAACTGATGGGGTGTAGGGCGGACCCACAGCACCCGAACCTCCTTCTATGGTGAGTATCTCAGCAGGACTCCTTTGTACTGCTAAGTTATTAGAAGATCACAAAGGGAAAGGAAATACTGCCTCAGACTCTCCACTCTGACTCTTCCCCACGGCCTCGTGTCTCTGGCACAGAGCTCCATATAACAGTAACCAAATAGAAAAGAACTCATTTCACAGTTTACTTACTTATCTAACTTAAATCTCCATAACTCATAACCAACCTCTCATTTTACTTGATGTCAAAGAAACAAAGGAAAAAAGGGAAAGAGCCCCATGTGACAGTCATCCCTCCCATCCCCCACGGGGACAGATTCACCTACCGAATGAAACTCAAGTGAACACCAAGTGACCGGTGTGTCCCTGAGCAGTCGATGCAAAGAAACACCCCATAGGTTATGCTTGCCCAGCTGGGATTTTTGGCACCACAATCAAAACACACCTGAAAGAAAATTTAAAAAATCGATTATTAATTACTTTATTTTAGCCAAATGAGCTCTCCCATAGGACACAGTACGTAACTCAGCTTGAAAGCTGCTTAACCTTTACAATTTAAACTGGGTAATAGAAACTATCTCATCTAGATTTTTAAAACTTCAAACTTTGCCCTGGTCGGGTAGCTCAGTTGGTTAGAGAGTCATGCTGATATGCCAAGGTTTCGAGTTGAACCTCGGGTCAGGGCACATACAAGAATCAACCAATGAATGCATAAATAAGTGGAACAACAAACTGAGGTTTCTTCCCACCAAAGTCAATAAAAAAATAAAACCTTCAAATTTTCATTTATTTTATTATTATTACAATATTACTATAGTTTATTAAGTATATATTAATAGGATTATATTAACGTAACACATTAATCACACAGTATATTATGTAATATTACAAACCTATTATAACTGTGCAGAGTGGGTAGTGAAGGGAACTCAGACGTGTGTATCATCTTAACCATTGCCTATCCTTGAAGCATCAACAGGGTTCCTACCAGTCAGGTAAATGAACACTAGCCAGGGAGGCCCCTGCTGAGAATACTCAAGGCCTTATGTCCCCTGGACAGTGGCCCGTACCAGATGGCATGCATTGTACACACTTCTCAGCCAGAGGAGGAGAGTGTGGCGGCCAGACTTCAGGGTGCCCCCAATGATCCTCCTCTCCTGGTGTTCACACTCTTGTGTAATCACACCCTCACTTTTCCAGGGTGGTCTATGGACTATCATATGGAAGAAATGCTACATGTCACTTCCAGACTAGGCTGTAAAAGATGCTGTGACTTCCTTCCACTCTCTTGCTCTCTCGCTCTGGGGGAAGCCCGCTGCCGTGTCTTGAGGACACTCGGGAAGCCTAGTGGAGGGCTCAAGTGGGGAGAAACTGAGGCCCTGAGTCCAACAGCCAGTGCGGAGCGGGGCCGGCTGACCACTGCGTGAGCACACCTGGGAGGGGAAAGCCCAGATTTCAGATGACGGCAGCATCATGGGACCCCGAGCCTTCCTTCCTCAACACTGACTCAAGTCAACATTCTTCATCTGATAACAGGAGCGCAAAAGTACTTTAAAATATGCAGCGCTTGTCATGGAAATGAACACAATATGAGAACAACAGGATAGTAACAATCCCACTAATAGGAGAACTGTTTTTAATTTTTTTCCAGAAAAAAAAAGCAATCATATTTTAGATACACTTTAGAGGCAGAGCCACGTATGTGAAGACTGTCCCAAGTATAGTCATCAAGAAAGACCTGGCTTCTGGCCTTTTAAGGGCAACACAAGAGCGAAAACGAGCGGGTTTTCCAAAGCCCCTCACCACACAGGCTCACGTTAGGCATGCATGAATCGTGGGGGTGCAGTGACAACTGACAAGAAAGGTACCTGCCATTCATTTCAGTGGTGCTGGTGCCAGACATGGGGCAGGCACTGAGGTATTAAGAAGTAGGTGGCATCACTGATTCCACATACACTTGCTGAACCCCCACCCCCTGCCAGGCACATGCTGGCCTTTGGGAGAGAAGGACATGGAAATTCAGATCCCTGTGGTAACAGCCATCAGAGTGAGGAATCTCCTTCCATGGGACTAGTCATGCCAAAGGCGCTGTCCCTCTGCAAGAGGCCATTTGTAATTCTCACTTACTCAGAGGATAGTTGTGTATGTGCATACAATCGGTATGTACCTGGTGCACACAAAGTGGACGTACAGAGGTGTTTCAGTGGGTGTGCTCAGAGCCCACAGACTAACAGTTTAGTGGGCAAGTCAATTAGTTACAAGGTTGAATCTTAGCAAGTGAGGACAGGATGCAAAAAGTTTCCTAGATAGGATCCAAGAGGCATTTGGGATCTCAAGAAGAGTCTAGAAGGGTAGTAAGTGGCAAAAGCATGTGCAGGAAATGGCCCCATGGACAGAGGTGACAGCAGAGACCAGGTGTGCATAGCCCAGAGCAGGCAAGTCTGAGAACTGCTGCCAAGGTGGCCAAAAGGCTGGCTACACGAAAGAACAGTGGGGTTTCTGTCGACTTCAGCATCCTCCTGGCCCACCACCTGAGATTAGGAATTGCTAGGATGTAGCTCCATGACGGTGGGGCCCAGTCTATTTGGCCAGCTGAGCTGAGCACCCAGCCCGGCACAAAGTGGCATTATGCGCAATCACAGGTAGTGGGGCAGCTTGGAGGGTGGAAGAGCAATGAGTTAGGGCTGGGACCTGTGGGACTGGGGGTCTAACGAGTTGGGGTTGGGAACTGTGGGACTGGGGGTCTAATGAGTTGGGGCTGGGACCTGTGGGATTGAGGTGAGGAGCAGTTAGAAATACAAGCCTGGCCCGGATGGGCATAGCTCAGCAGTTGAGCATCGACCTAGGATCCAGGAGATTGAGGTTTGATTCCCGGTCAGGGCACATGCCTGGGTTGCGGGCTCGATCCCCAGTAGGGGGTGTGCAGGAGGCAGCCGATCAATGACTTTCAACATTGATGTTTCTATCTCTCTCTCTCCCTCTCACTTCCTCTCTCTGAAATGAATAAAAAGATATATTTTTTTAAAAAGAGAAAAGAAATACAAGTCTGGCTTACAAACGCCGCCTTGGTTCTCCTGCTGGACATGAGACTGCGCTTTGTTTTGATATGCTATCCCCAACCAAAGCTGAAACACACTTTTCTAAGCAGACTATCAATTATCATGGTGACGAAAATGAAATAGGTTTTTTTCTGTTTTTTTAAATCCTTACCTGAGGATATTTTTCCATTGCTTTTTTTTTTTTTTTTTTTCAGAAAGAGTGGAAGGAGAGAGAGAGAGGGGGAGGGAGAAAAACACCANAAGACTGTCCCAAGTATAGTCATCAAGAAAGACCTGGCTTCTGGCCTTTTGAGGGCAACACAAGAGCGAAAACGAGCGGGATGTCAGAGAGACACTTTGATTGGTTGCTTCCCTTACCAGAGCTGGGGATCAAGCCTGCAACCAAGGTATGTGCCCTTAGGCCGGAAATCGAACCCTGGACCCTTCAGTCCATAGGCCGATGCTCTGGCCAATGCTCTAGCAGATGCCCAAACCGGCTAGGGCAAGAAATAGTTTTAACAAACTGTTTGTTTTGCCGAATGATGAGAATAATTGCTATAGAAATAATAGCTAATATTGACTGTTTACTCCCTGTCAGGCACTGTCGTTGGCCAACTGAATCTTTCTAACAACCCTACCAAAGGTACTGTTATTACCCTTTGGGGCCAGCTTCCAGGGTGTGTGTGTGATCTGTGTGGTCCCACAGGGCCACACACTCAGAAGGGCCCATGGCTCATCCTGAAATTCTTAATTTCCAACAAGGACCCTGCGTTTCATTCTGCATTCCCCAAAATTATGTAGTGTGGTTTTGATCCCCATTTTAGAGAAAACTAAGGAAATACGAAGTATCACAGCTAAGAAATGGTACCTCGGGGACTGGAAGCCAGGCAGTCGGCATGGGGGCCTGTTCTCCACCCCTTCACCACACTGCCTCTCGCGTGGCCAGGCAGCCCTTTACCCATCCTTCGTCTCCTGGACTATCCACTCCCTGAAGGCAGGGGCCTGTCTCTTTGTTGTGGGTACATCAGTGTACCCCCCAATGCTCAGCACAGGGCCCAGCACGCTGCAGGCGCTGAATCACTCAAGCAATCAGTATAAAACCAAGGAACAGCACAGCTTCCAGGAAAGATTCCGCAAACTAGAAAACTGACCCTTAGGAGTTCTAACCTTGGGTCCAGAGTAATGGTCATCACACACGAAAGGGAGAAACTGGACACCACATTCTGAAAGCAAACCGAGTTGTTTTTCTTCACCTCCCTTTCCTGTCTCATGTATCCTAGAGCTGCTTTTTAGAACCCCACTTTGAAAATGCTTATTGTCACCCAACTCTTCCACATCATTAAAACTAGTTTTCATCTTTGTTCAGGTCACCGTTTCTTACTAACAATCATATAAAATGTCTTAATCAAGAAATGTAGCATGATACTGTGGAACATTACCAGAAAACATTTTTGTTCAATGCTTTTATTAACATAAAAGCATTACAGAACATAAAATGTTCCATAGATGTGCTGTGCATAAAAAATAAATAAATAAATAAATAAATAAATAAATAAATAAATAAATAAACAGCTGACATGTATTGAAGGCTAGTATATGGGGGTACTACTCGAACTGCTTTTCTCAGATGTTCTCATTCAATCCTCACAATAACCCTCTGAGTTAGGTCCTGCTCACATCCCATTTTCAGATGAGGAAAATAAAGCACAAAGTAAGTGTTCAAGTAACCTGCCCAAGGTGACATAGTTAGAAAGCAGCAGGGTCTGGGTAACAATTTACAAGCCCATCCATCTATGTCTCTGAGTAGAAATACACTGACTTCTTGTTTGTTTGTTTTAAATATATCTTTACTGATTTCAGTGAGAGAGGAAGAGAGAGGGAGGGAATTGAAACATCAATGATGAGACAGTCATTGATCGGCTGCCTCCTGCATGCCTGACTGGGGATTGAGCCTGCAACCCGGGCATGTGCCCTGACCAGGAATCAAACCTCCATCTCCTGTATCCTAGGCCAACGCTCAACCGCTGAGCCATGCCCGGCCGGGCTGACTTATTTCAAAAGGGCACACTTCCTTTGATGAATTCCATCAAGGAGAATACGGTGTTCGCGTTATGTTTCTGTGATAAAGCAGACACCAAAAAATACCGTTTCTACACCGCTAACTGCAGGTCCAAATGTTGTCTAGATCCTCAGGAACCACTCTGTATTAACAGATGACTCTAAAATGGAAAACTGAGAAAACAGCAAAGAAACTGGTCCTGGAGAATCCTTGAAGCCTTCCTTTCTCCTCCTGACTTTCCCTACCTTCGTCAGACATCGCTTCCAACACACTGTTTCCCTTCTCACTCCTTGTGAGGCTGTTCCACCATCACAGCTAAGTTTTGTAAAGCTCAGGACCTTCCAGTGCCATCGTGTCACGGCTCATGACCATGCTCCTGAACAGCTGTTTACTCTGGAGGTGATGACGGGGCCCAGACAGAGCTGTGGCAGGAGCAGAGGAGAGAGTCCACGCTGACGGGACAGCCCTTTGCACTCTCCAGGTTCCACTCCGACCCGTGGCCCGGACCTGTGATCCTTAGGGGAGGGTGTCACCTTAGACCGACGCGTCACCACATCTCCAGCTAGTTTCTAAAAGTTGTAAAAGTCACGGTGGTGGTG